GTTGCCAAGACAGAGTCAAGAAGACAGGGGGCGAGAAAGGGCGCAGGTGGCTGGTACTGCGCAAACCCGCACCTAGACGTACCACCACACCCCCTGATCCACAACGTACACTGCCAGGACTTTATATCAATACAAAAGATAGGGGTGGCAAAGATCCCAAATGACGTAACGCGAACCGGCAACTGGGCCTCTCATCACACCCCAATGTTGGCATTTGTTATGGGTGCGCATTCCAGATAACTCCTGTTGAACCCCAATCTAGCTCCCGTGTTGATTCAGCACATCCGTCACGCGGCCCGTTTATGGGGCACCCCTGTACGTGTATTGGGGCTTGCACCAACGTTCCTTGCTCATCAAAAATGGCTGTCGAAAAAAGGGTCAGGTCATGCTTGAGTTAAAAATGTCAGCCGTCGAGGTGCTTTCCGAAGCCAAGTTAAACGGCTCAAACGGCATCAGTCCATCAACGTTCTCATTCATTTGTCTCTAATAATGCCAACTATTTCGGTATGGTATTTTGGCAGATTTTGAATAATTCATATTGACCCAACTGTGAAAAACTCGGCGCCTCGGTGGGATTCGAACCCACGCAGTAAGGAGGAAGGCTTTAGTACAGCCAACGCTCTAACCACCTGAGCTACGAGGCCCCGCCGGACGACGCGAGTTTTATCACACTTGGGTCAATATGAATTATTCAAAATCTGCCAAAATACCAATGAATAACGTGAGCCTAGTAGTCATCTGGTGGATTCTAGGTGAATTACTTAGGAAATCCTGCTTGGGCAGTCAGTATCAGTATCAGTATATTTCAGGGAAAGTAGGTGTGTACCTTTGAAATCCCTATTGGTTACATGCAGAGGATATATATGGAGGAAATGGAGTCAACTTACTGTATCAGATTTGGTGGATTCCAGACGTTGCAGTAGGTTGGGCGGGTAACTTGACCCAGATGTGATTAAACTCGTGTCGTCCGGTGGGGCCTCGTAGCTCAGGTGGTTAGAGCGTTGGCTGTACTAAAGCCTCCTCTTGCTGTCGTGGGTTCGAATCCCACTGAGGCACGGAGTTTTTCACAGTTGGGTCAATATGAAATATTTCGCTATGCATTTCAGTACAGAGTTGCATAGGGAGACTACAGATAAGTGGTTAAACTGGTTGATTTAAAGAAGTCCCAAATCCACTTCTGACGGTAAAGACCATATCCTGTCTTGTTAGGCGGGTCCAGCTGTTGGTTAGAGGTTCCTTGTTGTCTTAACTTCCTCTGGAGTATTTTTAACCAACAATTCAAAGCCGATCCTTCAGGTGAATTGACTATTATTTATTAGTAGTTAACTGTGAGATAACCAAAAATTACATTTTAAATGCGTGAACAGCGTTTACTTTAGTAACCATGCTTTCATTGGCAGGAAATGAAGAAAATAACGAGGACTTCAGGGAGTACTGTCATCTTGTTTCCCTTCTTTTGTCAAAGCCACATCGGGCTGGTGCTAGACAGTATTTGCGAAGATGAGAAGGACTCCCGAGCTCATCGCTTTGTTACCGATGACATTTCTCTTGTAATGTGTCCATCTATTCGCACTTACATGAACATTGAAATACATCACGGCGGACTGCGTAAAGTGCAGTGCGTACAACTTCGTTTTCTTACCGCTAAAAGGTTTGACGTAGAGTGTTCGGGATTTAAGCTTAACCTCTATGGACCCATTGTTCTGTTCGTTACACTGGTCAACTTGACTGCCGCTGAAAATTTAACACTTGAAAAATAAGAAGGGCACATCAGAACAGGTTCATTGGAATACTGGTGTTTAGGAGAGCTTGATCGGCTTAACAGAACAAAAGTGGAAGTGATGTGCCGCGCTAGACGGCCACCTGCTGTTCGATTCTTTTCTTTCGCTGCCTCGGCTTTTTGGAGGATGTTTGGGAGGTTTTTCGGGTGCGTACGTTAAGATACTACCTTGAATGGTGGTGGTTGTACCTCTGCAAGCGTTGTTCGATCTGGTGGCTCGTTTCCTCCCCCACCAAATAAATTTGGTCTAGCTCCCGAGTTGCCGATTTGTGCTCTTGTATGCGAGTCCGCGACTTCCGCCTGGCTTCTATAACGTAATTGCAGTTCTCAACATTACAGCATAGTTGTCGGACTGCTGCTAAGGTTTCGTTGAATGGCAGCGTGCCCTTAGGTAGCATAAAACAGCGACGAGTTGATGACTGAGGTCGATGCTCAATACCTAATCTGGGGGTCTTAACAGTTGGCCAACCACCTTGGAGACTCCTTTGATCTAGGGAGTGGCCCTGCAGACTTCGACTTGCTGCTCCTTTGCCCGACATCTGTTTGTTCGACGCATATTTTTCTCGATAAAAGGACTGGCGTATTCATTGCCTCTGAAAAGGGTTCCGGAGGTATAGCCGTTCAGCTCTTTTGTCCGCTGGCGTGTTGCATTGCCTCAATTCTTCGGAAAAGAGTGCGGGCACAAATACGTTGGTGAGACAGAGAATGACTGCTGTTGAAGTGTAACGTTTACCAATGGCTTTTCCGCACACTGTAGTTGTCAGTTATCCAACTGCACACCGGCACGTCGAGAAAGGGCAGTTAGTTGTTTGTTTCGACATACATCGTGAATTGGATATGCGGGTCAAGTGAGTTCGGCAATCAATTAAGGTGTTCAATTCCGGTTGTTTTGTCAACGCCGGAGCCGTCGACACAATAAGCCCAAATATATGGTTGATATTTGGCGAACACAAAGTGTTTTACCCGTTGAAGGACTGCTTCAGCAATCAGGTCCGATAGGGGGGAGTCTATAGGAGTGCATTAAATTTGTTCGTACACCTGCCCATCAAAAATGTTGAAGGTATTAAGACAGTGTCGGACTTCAGGGACTTGTCCTTTCCCCTAGCGTTCAAGCGGTAGTAGATTCACAACGTCAACTGCAAGAGTAGGATGATCAAGGTATAATTTTCCTTTGATAGTTACAATGTGGTTCTGGGTTTTCGCACATAGTTTCGCTCACCGCAAAAAAACCAATGACCAATCCAAGCAGGTAGCAGCATTCGACTGGCTAGTGCACTCCGCAGGAAGAGGGGAAAGTCCACATTTCATTTCCGTAATTGCTGTTCGGAGCTTTTAGGGGGTAAACGAGCCCCGAAGCAAATCTCTCCAACCCCAAAAGCACGAATTTCCAAAAAAAAGACAAACACCGACTGCTGATATATAAATACAGATGCGTTAACTGGAAGTGTGAATCTTCTGCTTATTTGTTGTCTTTAAGCCTACCTTTGGATCCTTTGGAATCTGAAGTACGAACTCCCAACACATCTCCCTAAAGCATGAATCAGAATTTGGCCATCATGAGCTCGAGTTATGAATTTCTGTTACAGTTGGGCATACACTTACATTAACTATGGCAGAGGTCCTAGCAGGGCTTTAAATTAACAGATTTCGTTAGCCTTGTGCTTTTAGAGAGTCGATGCATTCAATAATTTTTGACACAACTGTTCTAATTTAGTGCCTGTGATGTTTGGGACGGAATTAATCAGACAGTATTCTTTCTGCGTCGTTCCCCATAAAAAACATCGGGCAATATGCTTCCACTCACAATAATTGATTTAAAGTGGAGAAAAGTGGAGTATAACATGGGTAACTGTGGCAACTGGGGTGCCAGAAAGCAGTGCCTAGGCATTTGCTGTATTATCGTCATGAAAAAATAAATGTTCTAAATAAGTTGACGCAATTTGTTCTAGTGATGGAAGGGTGCTTTGTTAAGGGCTTCACAATACAACAGGTTGCCTCACGCTTAATCCCAGTGGGTTTTCGTGCTCTCGTATCCTATCTTTAACTTCAACACTAACCCCTATGCTCCTAACCTCAACCCCAACATTAACCCCAATTTTAACTCCCTCTGGGGTTTAGGGAAAAGCCACCTATAAAACTGGGTGCCCGTATTCCCACGCCCAGTCGATAAAGCGAACAGGAAAGATCGGTTTCGATTCGCCCAAATGTTTAATAATTTTCGTACTGGGGCACATTTAATTTTTGCAGGACAGTTAGACAATGAACATGGCCCGTCCTTATCGTTCACAATTTCTACCCTGACCGAGGGAATGGTGTTAAACGGTAGGTCGATATTTGGCCTGATCGCGAAAACGGAATTCTGAGGGAGACGCCTGAAATTCTTTCTCGCTTTTTTTATCTACACTGATGCACAAATGCCGATTTTCTGCCTTGAGTATAGTCCATTTTTCGGCAGCGTATGTCTTGCCAATAAAGCATAAGTTTGGTTACCATAAAACAATTGAGTTAACATTCCTTTGAGCTTTCGAACGTTCGATTTGTCCAGATTAGTCAAGGCGAATGATACTTCATTTGCCTGAACACTTGACTACACGTCTGCAAGAGTCAAAAACCCAGCACCGAGCAGTGCTCAGTAATTACCTGTTAAATATGTCATAACTGCCAAAAGTGCAAAATAACAGCAAAAGCAGCAAATGACAGGCCTTACAACAGCTTTTGAGTGCAGGGAACTTCTTGAATGCAGTAGATGAAACTGTTGGTTGGATAAATGAATCTTAATGGAGGTCTCCAAACCGAGGGCTGCGTATGACTTAGCTAGGGACGGCTAATAAGCAAGAAATGGCCACCCCAGTCCGCCTTTCCTTTGACTGAACTCCGGCCCTTTTATATATAACTGTCGCAATGTGACTGTCTGCGAGAGCTTTAGGTTTAGCCTCCAGGGGCAGTGAGACGAGCGCGTCCCGTAACCTGATCGATGAATGCACTTACGCCATAATTAGTATTTTTAAAATATAGAGTCTGTGGATAGGTAAGCTACTCAATTTTGAAACAGTCTGTTCGTTTTAATATTTTTGGTGAGTTTGTGTCGAGGTGCCGGCCACAGGTGCCATTCACTTCGCATTCTCACTCCGACAAACTGAATCCTCGGGAGATCCGTCATCTGGACTACATTTCCCAGTTCATCTCAGATATCTGTCACATCGACGGTTCGCAGAATGAGATGGCTGACGCTCTGCCCAGGCTCTCAATCGCCCAGCTTCAATTTTTTCCCCGAACCGACCTCACTGAGACGGTTGTCGAACAACTCCGTACTGAGTTTCCCAATGGCATGGATGTTTCCGGACTCCAACTCGAAGACATCCCGCTGACTGCTGGCGACGACATTCTCTGTAATGTCTCCACCGACTCCCACTGCCCTTTTGTGTTGTCATCTCTTCGCCGCAAGGTCGTCTCCTCCCTCCACAACCCCTCGCGCCTAAGACTGGAGCAAACGACAAACTGGTCGATGTGTGCTTCGTCTGGCCCGGGATGCATAAAGACCTGAAGGCTGGACACGCGTGTGACCCGTCTGCCTGCAGAGCAAGCTCCAGCAGTACAACAAGGCTCCCATCGGCGCCTTCCCCAGCCCTGATACAAGGTTCATCCACGTCTTTCTGGACATTGTAGGCCCCTCGCCTCTGCCCAATGGCTGCTCCCATCCCCTAATCTGCGTGGATCGTTTCACCCGGTGGCCGGAAGTTATCCCTCTACCCGATCTCACTACTCCAACGGTCGTCAAGGCTTTTACCAGTCGTTGGGTTTAAATTGTCGGTGCTCCTTCCATTATCACGACTGATCGCGATGCCCAATTTGAGTCTCACTTATTCCAGGTTCTCCTCTTCTTTTAAGGCTTCACCTGCATCTGCACGACAGCCTATCACTCTCCTGCCAACGTTCGCGTCCAACGTGGGGCTCTCGAGAAGGTTCTAAGCGTGGATCGCCTGAAATGTGCTCTCTCGTATACTCTTTTGGGCGAGCCCTCTGGTCCTTTCCCCCCCTGATTCTCCATCCCTCCTGCTCCCCATCCCTCAGTGTCCGTTGTTACTAACTGCAACTACTTTGTAATCAACCTCCAACACTCCATCCGCAAGACAAATCCTCTCTTCTCCTGTTTCTCTTTGTCACCCCCAGTGGGCGTCACGTTTTCCTCCCTGATCGTCTCGATACTCATTTCTTTTAGATTTGTACATATCTCTCGACGTCGACTTTCGCCACCTTCTAGTCTCCGATGTGCCGAATTACCAGACTAATTGAGCTTTAACTGTCTGGTGACTTTTCTATAACTAATGGTTATTTGAAGGCACCCGACACAACGCTGAAGGGGACACGCGTAACACACCTGTAATTGGAGATCGGGTGCTTGCTTTTGGAATCCTAGTCCTATTCGCCTACCAGCCTTTCCTTCCGCCGTTTAAGGCTGGTACATATAACTGAAGATGAGGACTCGTGTCATGCATAGACGGCTAGTCGGAAGTGTAACGTCCTCGATAAGTTTTATGCAAAGCGCTCCACGGAGCACAAACCAAACCGAACGATAGGGCTTTCACAATATGAGCCCGTAAATAGGAGTTTTATTGGAAGAACTGTAATCAAGGGATGACCGAGGACCAACGGGGAAACTGCAATATGAGACCAGAAATCGGAGATAAAAGACTGATTTTGACGTTATGCGATCAGTCCAAACCGCAGGACGCGCTATGGACGATGAACTTTTGGTTTATAACTCCGCTCTACAATCCCACAGGAGGTGGCATAACAATGGGTAATTTACATCTGAAGGGTATTCCGCAAGGTAAGGACACATTCAAATGACATGTTTCATATTGTTTTTCGTTGAAAGACAGTCTTTCCCTATTCGCGGTCCAGGAAGAACCGAGGTTCGAACTTGCGTTCTGTATACGCGCTAATACGTGTAGCCATTGTACAGCAGACTCACCCCCCTGACACGATCACGGTATCGAATGAGCGTGCCATGCTTTCCGTTTGGGCTACGGTCTAAGGCAATCATAATCAATCTCATAACGACGATCAATCAGTGACCAGTTTGTGAGACCCCAGCCTTGAGCAAAGCATGTTAAGCAAGGCCAAAGTTGAATAAATATTGTTCTTCCCAGTAATTTTCCCACAATTTCTTGTCGGGGTTTAGATTGTTTTAGCTGAGAAAACTATTCGTTTTCCACAGTTCTTTAAGGTAATCTTATGACATCCAGCAAAACCGATACTGCAGCCCAGTTGAAAATATAAGGCCATAAGCGTTCCGTGTGCGTAGTACAAGTTAATTGAGGAATATAAGGAAAAAGTGTGCGCACGAGTCGCGGAAATGTCGTACAAAACTAGGCTTAATAAATATAAAACATTCCCCAATTACACGCAACATGGCTGAACTTAGCTACGTTTACTTACTGTTTGCAATTCGCCTGTCGCTGTTATCGCGGTCGACACAGGCTTCATATCCTCATATGGGAAGAATTACGAATGCAGACCTCTAGGGTAATTTTCGAATATGCATTTTGCGGATTTCAAAACACAAACATGTTTAGTTTCCGTTTCGTGACTTTACATTCGGTGACCTGTTAGGTATGTAGCTGCAGTGGGCTGACTTCATGCACTGGCCAATGATCTTTATTTGAGTCAGTATGTCGGCGGTGGAGCACGCGTCTAACATCCGTTGTTTTTCGTTCATTTGTTTTGTCACGCCTTGCTCCTATTTAAACTTTCGTGGGTTTTATGCCAATTACACGATATTTCATCCGGAAGATGACTTTTCTTAAAAAAAGTAAGTGCTTCTTATCCTATGCCGAGGGCTCACCTATCCCTATCTAATGTGTGTACTGATTTTCATAAATGCGACGGAAACTTTAGTCAATGAACTAGTCATAGGTTTGCAAAAATCCCCATTGAAAAATTCAGAGGATAATTTGACGAGCACACGCCAGCTTCCGATGAATACTTTTCAAGTCCATACATTTATATTGTTAATGAAAGAATGGATTAAAGATGCGGACAATTAGATATAGGCTGTAGTTTGGGTTTGCGGAGGGAGGGGGTAGTTAAACACATGGTGGGCACCGAGAAAGGTAATTATATACGGATAGCTTGCTTGGTGGCTTGGTGCCATGGTACTAGTCATGGTTTTTGGTGTCAAATTAAGTTTGCCAAAGTGAACATTCACAAGTGTAAGTTCTGTGAGAAACCGAAAAACGTGCACCGACGAGCTTGCTGACTCAGTGAGACAGGAGGCAAGAATGGCCGACTTACACGTAAAGTTGCTGGCATCCTTCGTTAAGCAGTTAGACTGTTCGGCTGGAGTATACTTTTAACGCAAACCAGCCAAAGATAGTGAAGAGATAGCCAAATCAAGTTTATGGGTCCATTTGTGATCAGAAAGACAACCTACCGGATCTTTGTGAAGCAGAGGGAGTGCAGCATCGTGTTTAAATGAGTAGCTGAGCGCGAGAACTTAATTGCTGAACCCTATGAGACTGTAGAGATGAAAAATCACACTTTAGCAACAGCTATAGTTTAGCCTAAGACAAGTAGACTCCATATTAGTTGGGGAAAAAATCGACACACTTGACAGTTCGACCGTCGCATCCGACGATGTCCACCGTCTGCTCCACAGTAGAGAGAGAGCACGGACAGTGAATTGCGCGTGATTTATAGTGAGAGTAGACTTGCTCTGCATCCACCACACTCCCTCCTCCACCCCCACCTGGACCCGGTGTAAAGACAGAGTCAATACGGCCGGATACGGTGGAGGGCTCGGGTGGATGGCACGGGCGAGCCCGCACCTTGACGTTCCACTCTCCACCTCCTGGTCAACACAACAAATAACCAGGTTTTGGACCTACAACCAAGGGAATGGTGGCTGGCACGGCCGAAGCCGCACCTAGGCGTGCCGCCACATTCGGCTCGGATCCCACGGAGTTGGAATGCTATAAAGGCCACATTAAGAAGGAACCATTGCGGCCTAACTCTCAGACCACCAACCGATCACTCAACAACTGCAGCACACACAACACTGGGCCGACTTCGAGGTCCAAGTTACCCCGTCAGTCGGCAACCTTCGAAGCCATGGCTTTTAACGCACCGTGATAGCTTCAAGCGCGTCAGATTGTTTATAGTGAGGAGAATGCGCTGAGTCGTCGACTTCACTCTCCCTTCCCATTCCCATACCTTAGACACTGTTCGTGCCGGCCAGCTGACTGGAGCGGGGAATGGGCGCGGTGGCTGACATGGTCTGGTGACCTTGTCTGCGCGCGTCACATGCACGTCCTGGCTCCCCAAACACAAGCACCAGGATTTTACACAACGGGGATTGAGCGGCGCATCTCTCACATGTGTGAGAATGTCGTAGAAAGAGCTGTTTCAGACTGGCTCTCAGTCCACCGGTCCGCCACTCCACACAACCACAAAAACAAGTTGACGGACTGCGTGGACCGAGTTGGGACCTCAGTCAGCAGCCTTTCAATCCATGGCGCTTGACGCGCCGGGGTAGTCTTAGGCTTGAGTCACCCATGCAACAGGAGCCGCACGGAGACCAGGTTGAGACACACACTTCCCACTTGCGCAGGAGGTGTCAATTGGATGCCTTTGGTGGGTGATGCTGATGTGCAAGGAGATGGTGGCGAGGGAGGCTGTGATGATGTGATGCAGCCGGCGGTTGTCTACCGCAGGTTTTCTTGGATGCGCATGTGACAGAATGGACCCATGCGGTGCATGAATGTGCGAAAGCAGTGTAGGCAGTGGAGGCGGGACTGTGGGTGTGGGTTGGTGCTTCAGGAATTGGTCTGCCAGTCTCTGTACGATGGATTCGCAAGTGACCGACCAAGTCGATGCGTGAGATGAATGTTCGGGGACAATGTGGACAGGAGAAGTCGGTGGTGCCGGTGTCAGCTATGGAGATGAGATGCTGGTGGGCGCACTGAGCGACAGGTTATGGGTGGGACTGAGCGTTATGGGTGTTCAGTGGGCACTAGGTGTGATGGAACTGGTGGCGGTGGGCGCGAAGGGCGAAGGAGTGAGGGAGGGCTAGGCATGGTGGGTGTGCTCGAAGTGTCGGGACTGCGGTCATTTCCGCCCTCGTGGATACGCATGTGGCTGAATAAGCCCACGCGATGCATTAATGTGCGACGGCAGTGTGGACAGTGGAGGCGGGCGAGGCGGGTGTAGGTTGGTGCTCCAGGCACGCGTTCGCCAGTCTCTGTGCGATGGATCCGCAAGTCCGACCAGGCCGATGTGTGAGGTAAAGATGCGGTCGCAGTTAGGACAGGTGTAGTCTTGGTCCTTACTTCTGATGTCGTCGGTGATGGTGCTGGTGTTTGCTGGTGTGTCAGGATTGTGTGTCATGTTGGTGTGAGTGGCAGACGCCACAATGGCAGAGGGTGAGGCAGTGCGGGAGGAGGAGAAAGTGAAGAGGAAGAAGAACAATGGAAGTACTGGTTCAGGAGGGCGGTCAGACTTTGTTGACGGCGTAGAGGACGAGGAAGAGGTGGACAGAGTGTCGACAGTTGGTGCAGTCCGAACGGTGCAGTTGATCCGAAGGTGTCTAATAATTCCAACTGACTCCGTGAATGTCCGCTGACACCGTGGACACGTTGAAGTCGGTCGTGCGTTGGCACTGCGAGGTGGGCGCAGCTGAGATTTGCGGACTCCGCGTCTGACTTTCGCGGCGGCAGTGCGGTTGGCTTCGTAGATCACAGCGTCTGTCTTCACTGTCCTACTCCAGGTCGATCGGTCTCGAGCGAGTTCTTCCCAGTTGGCCGGATTAATTTGCAGGCGTTTCAGACAGGACTTCACAATATCCTTGTATCGACGAATTTGGCCTCCTTGGCGGCGAGAACCTGTGGCGACGTCTCCGCAGAAGAGTCGTTTGGGTAGTCGCTCGTCGTCCATGCGCACCAGGTGGCCGCTCCAACGCAGCTGTATTTGTCTCAGCATGGTGCAGATGCTGAGGATTCCCGACCGTTCCAGCACATCAGTGTCGGGGATTCGATCCTGCCAGCTCAGCCTCAGAATGCGACGGAGACGACTGAGTTGAAAGTGGCTCAGTCGGCGTGCCTGCTTCGTGTACGCCGTCCAAGTCTTTGTTCTATATAGCAGCGTCGGAAGGATGAGGACCTTGTACACTTTCAGTTTCGTGCTGAGCTGGAGACCGTCACGATTCCAAACTGCGTCTTGGAGACGTCCGAAGGCTTGAATGACCCATCGCTGTAGAGTTTGTGTCTTCTCGGTTAGTAGGATAGTTCCTTCGGCGCTGAGAAGTGGTGCAACTGCCTTTATTGGCGGACCTTAGACCGTTTCGATCGCGGAGAAGAAGTTCTTCCATGCGATGCGGTCAGCGTCCCCTTGGATCCCCTCGGCCTTGCGAGCCGTCCAGGCGTCCTGCATCTCGCGCAGCCACTGTTTTACAAAGCGACGACTACGGTAGAAGGTTGATCTGTTGTGGTCGGCGGGGCGGTCGACGTAGGTTTTGTGCAGGCGGTTCTTCCCGGCGAGCAGTTTGCTGATGGCGGCGTCGTTGTCATTGAGCGAGTCCTGATATCAGTGACGTGCGTGACCGAGGATAGCCAAGGTCGTCGACTGGACTGTCTCCTGCAGTTGACACCGCTTGTTCTACACGGAGTTGTTCTCGTCAGTGGCGGCGGCGGCGGTGGCGGCAGCGACTGGAAGGCTGTCTAGCCATTGAGCTAGTTCGTTGCTGAAATGGAGATGGTGAGCGGGCAAAGACAACAAGGCGATATTCAGTTTACTTGGGGGTCACTTACCTTGAGGGCTCCTTTGAGGCTGTAGACAAATCCGCATCTTGGAGTTGACGGAAAGATGGTCAGTCCACCTGTCGGCACGCGGGGTCGTCTTTCTCACCAGCACGTCCCGCTGATCTCGCATCTGGACGAGGACATAGTCCAGCATGCGCCACTGACGCGACGCAGGATGAATCTAGGTGGCCTTCTTTCGCATCAACATACAGAAGAAGGTGTTCGTCAGGATGAGGCGGTGTTCTGCGCAGGTTCGTAGAAGGAGCAGGCCATTGTCGTTGTAGCCGTTGAGACCAGAGGGACTTAGCAATCCTCTCCAGACTGCATGGTCCGTGCCGACGCGGGTGTTGAAGTCACCAAGGACAATCAACTTATCCGCCTTGGGCACGGACGCCAGGAGGGCATGCAGGTCCTCGTAGAATTTGTCTCTTGCGACGTCAGGACTGGTCATCGGCGAAGCGTAGGCGCTGATGATGGTGGCGAA